ACTCCTCACAAGACTTACCACATAAATCTTTTGCAAAGCTTATACCCGGACAAGAGGGTAGAGAGTGTCAAAACCAAAAAAGCAGAGAAGGACATTGAAACTGAAACTATGGAGTTATTTCTCAGTGTTATAATCCCATCCTCGTTTATATGTTGGATCCACGCAATTGCCACGGAAGAAGATGATACTAGTAGATAACATATAACCTGATAATTAAGGTTGTACAAAATAAAAAATCAGCTCAACTCTTTTAAATGGTTTACTATTGTCTATTAAATATATATGATATGTAATACTATTATATAAGCATCGAACTAATTAAATCATAACGTACACAAACCTGATCAAGAATGAAGCTGATGTAATCGGAGAGAGGCTCAGAGATTAAAACTCCTTTGTGAGTAATATCACAAACTCCTTTGAATGTTTGCAGAGATGTATACACGAATCCTGTCACCGCTACACCAAAACAATACCTACATATATTTTCTTTTATTACAACATTTTCAATACTTCTTTGTATAAATATACAAATTAGATATGAAACAAAGTCATCTAATCTTTCCTTCCACAATTCTCAACATTTTCAACAGTTTTACTTTACTGCATGTTTAAAAAAGAACGTGATATTATGTAAAATAAAATAATATGAGACAAACAACATGATATTAAAAAATACATAAGAAAAATTCATGAAATTCATAAAACTATTATTGTGCGATGAATTAACCACCATATTTACAACAAGACCATCCACAGATTTTTCAAATTTTGTTTTGACTAATTAATTAAGGTATAGTCATGCTTCCAAATTTTTTATATTTCACTTCTTATATTTAATGTTGTAAAGTATGTCATGCATATTTAAGATAATATTTGAAACTGTCTAATATAGCCTTTTTGTTATTACTTTTACGAGTACGTATAAGGTATTGCATGTGAATAACAATTAACAAACTCTAGACACTTGCAAGGAAATATTTGATTTTCTGAAGTCTTAAAAAATATAATTAAGTATTAAAAAAACTTAAAAGAGGATAAGGTTCTTACAATAGTTCAGGATATGAAGCGAAACTCGAGGAGCTCTGTGTCCGATGATGTCTCAGTGAAGGCCGATTAACATTCACTGCCAGCGAAAGAGCAGAGACAAAACAGAGAACCAAAGTTATAAACCGGAGCACCAAACCGGGAACATGAACCGACTCTCGCCGTGAGCTGAATCCTGACGGCGTTACGGAATATGCAAACAAAGACGGCGTCGGAACTGCTGGCGTTTGATGAGAGATTGGCGATGCCGTCACTGAACCCTCCGACGATGGTCCGTAGGTGATCACCACTACGTGATCTTTATGTTCTTTCATCAGTTTTTCAAGTGTCACACAAATAATTAAAGTGAGATCGATTTCTATTCATAGCAAAAAAAATATATATATAGAAGAAGACTGATTTCTAGACATCGGGTTGGTTGATTCTGAAGTAAAATATTTAAATGAAGTTTCAGCGAAACTGTTGTACCCTTTTTTCTTTGATAAAATATTATAATATGAATGGTTGTAACTTGTATGACCAATATTTCTGAATATTTTATCAAAAAAAAAAAAAATATGTCTGAATATTTATATTTTAGTTGACTTCATTCCTCTTGCAAAATAAAGTCTATTAGGGTTTAACCTTAATTACTTGTAAAACACATTTTTCCGTTATAGAACAAATTTATTTGTTTTTGTAACAGTAAAGAGATCATAAATCTGAGCAAAAGAAAATATTTAATAATTTTATCCATCATTTATTTTTATACTATATCATCTTCGGATTTACATTACTCGTTGAGAATTCTTTGTAAAAATTGCTTCAACGGTGGAATTGAAGCCGCTCTCTGGCATCTGTCCTCTTTGGTACATTTTCTCTTTGGCATCACAGGACATGGGACTTTGGAAGATCTTGGATCACAACCTTTATGTGATTTCCTTAGGGGTGAATAATCAATATATCTTTTTTCCGAATCGATACCACTAATAAATGTGCACACTACAACCAAAAATATCACAAACATAAACTTATTTGTTCTCATCATTATTTCACTACTTTTGGATTTTTCTTCTGTTTGTTTTTAAAGGGTTTTCAATTTTTCTTGTCGAAAGATTGGAAAATCAAGTTCTTATATATAGTGGAAGAGAGAAGTTTTAATTCCACTAGCTTTAATTTAGAATTCCATTATGGTTTTTGGTTGAGTTACCAGTTCAGTTTTCTTTGTTTTGTTTTTAATAAAACACACCAAATTTTGCCGTTTTGTGATTTAATTAAGGCAGTTTCTTTCTCAAATTATACGTTCAATTTGAATTTATTTTGATTCCTTTCAGTTTAGTTTAATTTGATCTTCGTAATGTCTTTTTTTTTTGTCATTATCTCAGTTATAAATATAATTTAAAAGGTATCCATGTACAATAAATAAAAAAGGCTCCTTTTTTTGGGAAAAATGCTAAAATTATCTTCAACTTTCAAATTTAGGTCAAAAGAAACACTGATATTCTCATAAACGAACAAAGTTTATAATTATATGCATTAACTTTTGCTAACTTAATTGTTGACTAAATCGTTTTTCGAAAAACTATATATGAAAATCCTTTAACAAAAACAAAAAAAGGGTTGAGGAAATTATTAAGCCTAATGAATTCAAAAAAAACTGGGTTGAGCGTATTCAATCTTGTGCAGAGTTTGGCCTTCCTGAAATGTTTAAACAAAGTCTTCTATATGTGGATTGAGACCATAGTTGGACTGAACATACAAAACGTGTTGCCAATACAGAGACTGACAGGCCTGTAAGATTGCGAGGCAAGTCACTAAATTTTTTGTTTTACGTCTCGCGAGTGAGAAGTGGTTTGATATTCTATTGTAACTTGTGTTTTCCCTGACTTACTGAACCCTCCAACGATGGTCCGCAGGTGATCACCAGATTCACCACTACGTGATCTTTATATTCTTTCATCAATTTTTGGAGTGCCACAACTAATTGAAGTTTCAACGAAACTAATATACCCTTTTTTATAAAATATTATAATATGAATGGCTGTAACTTGTCTGACCAATATTTCTGAATATTAATACTTTAGTTGACTTCATTTCTCTTGCAAAATAAAGTTAATTAGGAATAAATATTTTATGTAAACTATGGGTATAGATATCACATACCCGATAGACCCGGACCCAATCAAACCCGACCTGAATCCGATCCAATCATTCAAAGTCCCATACCTAATCTCAATTTATTGATGATGCAATTGTATTTTAGATTCCATAGTTTTCACAAAGACCAAAATTTTTGTATGTGTGGCAGAGTTATAAATATATTCACAAATCATTTGTCACCAAAAGATGATATACTTGTCTTTTAGTTTTCACTACCTCCCAAGTAATTGTTATTATATTTTTTTTTTCAAAAAATGCATTGAAAAGAAGAAAATTAATGTATAAAATACTTTTTTTTATATAGTTTGCTTCTAAACTATTTTCATATTATATACTCTCAATTTTTTTTTAAATATGAATTTTCTCAGATTTCAATACATTTTTTATTAAGTAATACTAAGTAATTATAATTTTGAAGAAAAATAACTGAGATTATTGAATTGCGACTGGTTAATTTTTTTTAGAATTTGTTAATCAGAGATAATACATTTAGAGCCTAATTGTTAATATAGTTTCTTAATATATGTCAAAATTCTTAGAGAGTATATTTGTCTTATTTTTTGTAGAGTTTGTTTTTAAACATTATTCACATTGAGTCATTGCATTTTATAACATCAAATTTCAATATTTTGAAAATAAGCTACTAAATTACATAGAAACCTTTTGTTTTGGTTTAAATGTTAAGTTTTAAACCACATTTTTGATTCTGGACAAAAGTTATAAAAATACAGGAAAACTGAGATTACAAACAAAGCAAATTACAACTGGAAATAGAGACAGAAAAAAGTCAACATGATAGACACAATTCATAGTTAACACAAAGATTTTTGAAGAAAAACACCTATTCCAAACCTTTAAACTCAAAATTTGTGCTTTTTGCCGAAGATTTTAAAATCTTAAATATGTCATTAAATCTCAGAGTTAGTAATGTCTACAGTTTCTGGAAAGAGTAACACAAAAACAATATCATTTCAAGACACTACTATACATTGGCAGCAAGCCTCTTTGCACCTAGATAATTCTCCTGTTCGCAGGAGAGTTTACAATTACATAAGAAACTTAACTCTTGCATGAGAAACCGAATGTTTGAAAATGTGATTTTAAAGACCTATTAACCACACCGAATGTTTCAAACTTAGCTCTTGCAATTATATGGAGACCCATTACCCACACCCTAATTTTAGAAGAAACATAACCAAATTGTCAATCCATTGGAGATTGATGAGTTTTACCTGATCAACAGTCTCGTGAAATTTTATTAAAAGTAATTTTTCAAAAAAATAATCTTTTATATATCATGATTTCTGAGAATAAATTAAGAAGGACGTGTCTTGCTTGATTAGACCTTTTCGGATTACAGAACCACTTTGATTAATAATGTACGGTGTTAACATTATGCCAAATCTTAAATTTTATTGATGTAATTTAACTATAAGTACTTTTATATATTTTTTCAAATATTATTATTATTATTATTATACTAATGAAATTGTTTGTATAGTGATTTTAATTATGAAACTACAAAAAATAATGATTTGAATATGTTAATATATTGCAACTTTTATAGAATATGAATTTAAAATTACAATAAAATGATTAATGCTTTATTTTAATTTGTTTGTTTGTTTCAGATTTGAGAACTATAATAAAATAATTTTATGCTTTTTTATTTTTCTACAATCTTGTTCTTGACATGTGTTTTAAACTTTGTAAGCTTTGTAGCATTTTTTCTTATTTTATGACTTCAGAAGTTTGAACTAAAGATGAATAACTGTCATAAAATACTTCAATAACTAAACAACGGTCAAGGAACCCCCGCGCTCTCCCCCGCACATTCCACCTCTCCGGCGTCTCAGCCCAACGTCGACCTTATCCCAACTTCCTCTCCCTTTATTTCCTCCTTTTAAGCCCTTCTCCTTCCCAAGCCGACTCCTCCGATCATCCTTTCCAGAAAGAAGAGAACCCCATATTAGTTCAACTTAATTAACAGTTTATGATCTCTTATCTTGCCATATGAGAAAAACAAATCTACACATGCAAATACATCTTATTCACTACCAAATATATACATATATGTATACTATGTACTCGGTTCATGCATTGCTAAGGCATGTGATGGATTGGAGTTTAAACTTGCAGAAATTAGTTCAAAATCAATACAATCGAGTCTAACATTTGCTAGTACCATAATTTATTTCAGCAAGATATACTCACGCAATAACCTTGATAAACCCGAAATGGTTCCTAACTAATTGTTTGATATACCACTATGAGGCCTAGCACACAAAAACAAAAACGTTTCACCACTACATGGGAGTGATTTTCTTATGGCATACATAGTTCGTAATGGTACATAGCAGTCGTTTCTAGATTTAAGAGGAATAATCAGAGGGACCCCGACAAAACAATTTTCATCACCAAAAGGAAGACAACTTACTAATCCAGGGAGAAATTAAAGTAGCCAGAGTGTTCTATATATAGGGGAGTTTAAAAGAAGAACCTCTCTCTTTACAGAAGCATAATAAAATGTTGGAAAGACTGAAAATGCAGGGAAAAGCATCTAGAGAGAATAAGGATACCATTATTGTATATCCTCTGCATTTTCCAAGATGGACAGCGAAATGGAGAAATCTCACCGTGTTGTGCATCTCTGCAGGCCGAGGAAGTCGGTTGATATAAGGGACCCATGGAGAGTTCTGATTCAGAAACAATCAGAGAGTCAAGTTGTAACCAAAACAGTCGCATCAGAGGGAGACTTATTTTAAGATGACATTAAAACTAAAGATGTTGACGTGAGCTTACTTGAACCTTTTTCATCTCGATCATAAGAAGAGCAGCAAGCTTTCCAATGTTTCCAACTTCATCGGAAAAGCTTTCAAAGCACATACTGTGTAGGAATGATAAAAACTGCGTTACAGGTTCTATCTTACCTGACGAAGAGTCTCACAGAAGCCCATGAATATTATGTGGTCACCATCATTGTCGGTTTTCAGAAAGGCAAAAGCATCTTCAGCTGTTAGTGAAGCTCGCCTCAGTAAATACTGCAAAAGCAAAATGCTCAAATGTTAGAGAAGATGTAACATCACTTTAAACAGTGAAATGCCCCCAAGATATTGAGGAGCGTCTTACCCTGAACATGCCAAACACTGCCTCACTCCAACTTGTTTTCAGAAGC